ACTATCTTATAGACTGCCTCGGAAATGTAAGATTTAGGACTCCTGTGGAATTGAAATTTGGCAAATGTTATAACACATTTGATGATATAAACATTATCATAAAGCAATTTATGACCTAACTCAAAATGTCATAAAACATTTTCTGTGCTCTGTTTGATTGTGCTATGCATGGGCTATTTTCAAGTGAGATACATCTCTGAATGTATCCCAATTTTTCCAGTGAAGGCAGTACATTAGAAGCTGTGTCACTGAAGGCACTGAGGAATCTGGTAAGGAAATATCTCTGAAACAATGACCCAACAGGGTACAGGTTTTCTAGTATATTACTAAAACTCTCCTGTTGTAACTTCCAATTGTAACTTCCAATTGGGCATAATGCTGCTTCATAGGGAAACAATTTTTTAATCAATGTACCTTAAATGAGCTAACTTACAGAGTATATTCAAAATCTGAGACCCATTACTCCCATGGGATTGAAATTTGGCAAAGTTGTGCCCATTTCAATACTGCCACACTGCCACACTGATAATAATCATTTCCAACACTCCCTGCCAGCTTCCCATAAGAAAAGTAAATGGGAGAGCTTCTGGTGAAGAAAATGGCAGACTGAGTGGCTCCCTCAAATGGGAAGTGACTCCATAACTGAAGTGGGGTTCGACCAGAACTTGTAGCCTAAATAATTTTATAGATTTAAGAAGAATCCTGGAAAATAATGCACTCATCCCCTGAACAGCCACTCCTTGCAAGATTGCAAAATAGAGGTTTTGGCAATCAGTTAGTGAGTCAAACAATTCACACTATTTAATACACTACAGAAGTACCACATATAATGGTTCATTTTAAAGCAAAAAAATAATATATTTTATATTTGTATCTGTACCAAAGAAAGTTGGAAGCTACCCTTTTTCTATATTTTTCTTTTCTTTCTGCACCCTTAATTTTTCTTTTTATCTTATCTGTTTTTCCTTAATTTTTTCTTTCTGTTTTCTTGTATTTTATCTTTTATTGAAATTTCATAAAGTCTTATAAAAAGAAAAGTCAATGGGGCAGCCATCAACAGTCAGAAATCACTTTTGCTTTTTTGTCCACCTGTAGTCATTCTGTTTCTTAATTTAATAAAATATCTCTGAAATCATAACTCAATGAGATATGGGTTGTCTAGAACTACCTAAAAAGCTATCTAGTTTATGTGATTGTAATCACAAAAACCTCTATCTTCAAATCTACAAATCTTTGAAACAAAGTTATTACAGTTCTGAAACTAACAGAAATAAGATAGTTAATAGAAAACAATTGCATTGTTATTAATATAGCTGTATTTTAATAGTTGTATGATTTCTAAAATAATTATTTTAACTTGCATAGACCTTTGAAGGTGTGTAATATGCAAGTTTTAATATTCAAAAGAAAGATTGGTTTTCTAATACTTCAGGACTTTAAAACTGAAGTTGAAATTAAGATATAGTTGCTAGCTAAAGTCACTTAGGTCAGACATGTCAAACACAAGGCCCGGGGGCCGGATGCGGCCAGCGAAGTGGTTTCATGTGGCCCGCGAAGCCATCCTGAAAACAGTGAGGGAATGGCCCCTGTTGCCTTGGTCCTGGCCCAGGCCATCTGGGAGCCAATGTACAATTTTGTGGTGGCCATCTATGCTGAAACCATTCAGTCTTAGCTCCACAAGGCCGTCTGGAAACAGCAAGGGACCAGCCTCTGCCGTGTCGGCCCTGCCTCCTGGGTGCATGCTGGGGGCGTGTCACCTTTGTGAGGAATGAAGAAATGCACTATTGCCTGGAAGTGGCCAGCAAATGGCTCTCGCCTACTTCACATATCCGGCTTGATGGGCTCTGGGGGAGGGGTTTCAGCAGGCTCTTCCAGTGAACTATGCCTTGGCGCTTGCCCTGGTCCCACCCCCTTCTGCCAGAGACCCTCAGATCTGTCCCACTCCTGCCCAAGCCCCCACAGGCCCCCTTGGCGCGAATGATGTAGAGCTGGCCATGTCCACCCAGTAGGCCACACCCACTCCAGCCATGCCCATCCAGTAGGTCACGCCCACCCTGGCCACACCTACCCAGTCCCCGAGGACAACCGCAATGCTGATGCGGCCCTCAATGAAATTGAGTTTGACACCCCTGATCTAGGTAGTTCATAGCAGAAATGACATCAGAAACTTTTTTTTGCCATAGCTCATTTAGCTATTTTATGCCAGATATCAGTAATTGATTTAAGGCTGCAATCCTATAACATACAGCAACAACAAGCACCAGTAATTTCTAAAGGATTGCACATGTATCAGAATGCCATGGCATGATTATGTAATGACCCCATAACATCTGATGGCAAAATGTGTATTATGAAATATTTATGATGTATATTTGATGGTGGCTCACATATATTATCATTTGCCTTGCCACTCCTCTCCCATGTTTACAGTATAAATTGATAGATATCTATTCAGATGGAAGTTCTACTGAATTTAATGGTTTTAAGCTTACATAAATAGGTTAAGGATGGCAGTCTAATCTAGAACTAGAAAAGCTCACTTTTGAAAAAAAATGGTATCAGATATTGTAATGGTTGTTGCTTAGGCAATATAACTGTTATCTTGATAGTTTCTAGCATTTTTAATATTTAACATTTAATCACTGATATTTCATGTTTTAGCACCTAAATCTTTAATTTAAAATTAGGGAATGCAAGATAGGTTTATTTCAAAAATTGTAAAAGTGGACCAAGAAATAGTTATTGTACTGGAGTGAGATCTAAATGCAACAAATAAATAAAGCAAAATTATTAAAATCATCTATGGATTATATACAAGAGATTAGTTTTGCATTAACATAATCAATTAAAACTGTAGATGTTGATGCAAGCATAAGCTACACAATCATGCATAGCTTAGAATAGTGATATAAATTCTAAAAATTAGCAGTAACAGAAATATAAGAATAGCTAATAAAATCCTGGAAGACCAAAGGATCATTATTTTTTTCACCTCAAGCTGTTATCTTCTATACTCTACATGCATATATTTATTCATATATGTATATGCATATTAGTATGCATATACATACTACAAAAAAGATGTTGAGACCTTGGAAAAAGTTCAGAGAAGAGCAACTAAAATGATCAAAGGCCTGGAGACTAAAACATATGAAGAATGGCTGCAGGACTTGGGTTTGGCTAGTCTAAAGAAAAGAAGAAACAGGGGCGATATGATAGCAGTATTCCAGTATTTGAGGGGCTGCCACAAAGAAGAGGGTGTCAAACTATTCTCCAAAGCACCAGAGGGAAAGACAAGAAACAATGGTCAGAAACTGACCAAAGAGGGAAGCAACCTAGAATTAAGGAGAAACTTCCTAACAGTGAGGACAGTTAACCAGTGGAACAGCTTGCCTTCAGAAATCGTGGGCACTCCATCACTGGAGATCTTTAAGAAGAGATTAGACAGTCACTTGTCTGAAATGGTATAGGTTCTCTTCCTTGAGCAGGGAGCTGGACTAGAAGACCTCCAAGGTCCCTTCCAGCTTCTATTCTATTCTATTCTATTCTATTCTATTCTATTCTATCCTATCCTATCCTATCCTATCCTATCCTATCCTATCCTATTCTATTCTATTCTATTATTTCATTTTAACAATAACAAATGCATTTCTCATGCTCAATTTCATAAATCAGCTTTCTCCAAACTGGCACCAACCACATACATAGAATAACAAATTCTATCATCCCTGAATATATATTTAATGGTGCTGGGCTGGAATAGAGTCTCTCCTAAATGGATTGAAAGTGCATATAAATAGCAAACCATACATAAAATATGCTTTCTGCTTGATGTTTGTTTCCTATGCCTACAACTAACTCTTTGAAACTATTAAAAACTACAATTCAGAAAATATCAATTAGAATCTCCTTACTGAAACAACTAAATAAAATAATTCAGCTGTATATGCAGCAGTCACTGGATTTTTTTCATTTTTTTGTACATAAATTTTTGTACATAAATCAGAAGTTCTCATATCCTGTGCATGCCTGATTATTTGTTAAAATTGCTAAGGAAAAGACTAAAAACAATGTCTCATAATCTTGTTATACAATTCAACTTGCTACATCAAAAATATGTCAATTCCCAGGAGAATCACCAAGGTTATTTAAAAAGTTAAAGTCAATTGCAAGGGTCTAATTTTGGCTAGAAAAGCAACACTATGATACTTAATGCTAACACTTGTTTCAAACTCAAATGAGCAATATGTTTCAATGCAGGAGGCTATTTTGTTTTACATCTGAATCACAATTTCTTTTCTTAATAGAAGTAATTTGGGTAAGAACATTGAGAATCTTGGTTGTGGTGGTGATGGTGGCATAGAGGCAAAAGAAAAGTCTTGGGACAACAGGGAGATATATTGTCTTTTCAATAGTGGTGACAACTCAATACAGAGATAGAAGGAAGATTAGTGAGGTGGACAAAACCATGAGTCATGCCATGCTGGGAGTGGCTGATAAGAGGAGTGAAGAGAAAGGGTGAAACATGCTAATCATATTCTATTTGCCCCTTAAAATTCATGTGCAATCCCTCCAAATGTTGTTTTGTCCAAGATTCTGGATTTCAACCAAGACATTCTGGATTTTATTTGTTTTAAAGTACAATGCTATTCCTCAACTTATGGAAAGCATTTTGTCTGGATTCAAAATATAATATATTTAATGTTGTTATACTCCTAATATGTACATATGTAATTTGGCAAATTTGTTCCTAGCCCTTTAATAGATTGGAAACGAAAGGAAAATATAAGTACCTTTATTATGCCAGTATATATTTTTCACACAGGAAGAGAAATTTTGACCTAAGAAAAGAGGTGAGTGAACTGTTCTGTACAAAACTACAAGCTAAGCAAAAGTGGATCTCTTCTCCAAGCTGCTTTAAAGTGAAAGTAAAGGATATACATTCACAGATCTCACTCATCAGTCTTATTTTGTTATAAGTTGCTTAATAAGTTACTTACAGGATCAGAAGGGCCACAGTAGTCTCTGAACACTTTTTCAGGATCTACCTGTCGAATCTCTAGAGCTATACAAGGTCCTGAATAGAGTTCTACAACCATCTCCTGTAACCAGAAAAAAACCCAACAGATGTTTACATTGTTCTGAAGGCACATTATTGAAAATTTTATGGCCCCATTACTAAATTGATAATTTTACAGAAATCCAAATAATCAAAAAGCAGGGATGCAGAAAACAAGCAAACAAATCCTTTAGGACTAGACTTGGGTTTTTTATCCTAGATTATTTTGGGATAAACATTAATCAAAAGCAAAGTACCTCCCCAATATCTGAGTATTTATTTTTATAAACAAGTATGATGTGATAGAGTGATCTCTTCTAGCTTATTTTGCATTTTGAAAAGCTCAACACACTACAAGCTGCACATTTTTTCATACTGCAGAAAGCAGTAATATATTACTGATATTTTACCAAGAAAACCACACAGTTGGGAATATAAAATAACTGATGATATAATGACAGATAATGTACCCATTAGAAGGGATAGCAACACACTGCTGAAGAAGAGTTGAGAATCTTTTAGAGCAAACTGCCAGCCCACGGGCCGGATGCATCATAGTGAGACCGCACCCACCCCATTGCCAGCAATGGCAAAAAAAGTCGTGATGTGTCACATCATGTGATATTGCGAGTTTCACACCCCTATTTTAGAGTACTAATTGTGTTTATGATATTGCCAGTTTAAAGCCTACAGGATCTCTGATTGCACCTAAAGCTTTGGGAAAGCTCAACACAATAAAACATGAAAATGAATGACTAAACATCGGTATCTTAGGATCAGCAAATTGAGATAGACTTGAATTGAATAGTTTCAGTCAAAAGTTGGTGGTCTTGTTTTCATAGTTAAAAAGACAATAGCAAGAACAATACTTGGCTGCAAAGCAATCAATCACCAGATATAATCAATTAGACATAATTGACAGGTGTATTCAAGTTTATGCTCCAACTATATATACAGAAAAGAAAATGGATGAGTTTTATGATCAAGTTCAATTCGAAATTGACAGAGAATGCAAAGCATGGTGTGCTGCTTGTGGCAGGAGTCTAGAATGCCAAGGTTGGAAATATTGAGAAAAATATAGTTAGACATTATGGCCTCAAAAATCGAAGTGAAATTAGACTAGCTCCTTTCCTGTTTTCCTTTAGGAGGACTCTGGAAACTGAGTTTTTTCTTAGAGTAGTTACACTTTGAAATGATACTATCTATTGAGTTTATTGGTTCTTAATAGAAAAAGATTATCAATTTGTTATATTTCATTACTGACTCATCATTTTTTATTAAATTTACCATTGGTATTTAAACTGTGGATGTTTTAAATGTCATGTGTATTTTGTAAACAGGTAAGAACCATACTGAGGCATGACAGAATAAAAATAGAACAGGTACATAACTATCCAACTATTGTAAAACAAAATGTGTAAAGTGGCATTTCAGTAAATATTATGAAGTGTGGCATTCCTGCAAATACTGCAAATGTAGCGTATTAACAAAATTTGCCTTTGAGAATTCTTCCCCAATTGCAAAGATGACATATTATTAAACTGCAGAAAGATCTGGAGGCAGAAGGTATGCCAAGCATCCCTCCTCAATGGGGAAAAAATATCCACAAAATTAATTTGCTAGTTTGTGGATTTGATCCATTTTTAAAGTGAGGCAGAAAAATGCAAGGAGGATTTCTAAAGGTAGCAAGGAATTGGAATTTTTGGAAATTTGTTTTAATTTTAAAAATTAAGAATTTTGATATGATGTTCAAGGACAACATAATGTTACTAATGGGGATGCTTTTTAGCCTGGAAAACCATTATCCAAAAGTGCACACAATTTATGTATATCACACTGTGGATTCAAACCTAAAAATTATGTGTACAGTTATCTTTCCAATAAATTGTTAATGGTTTATTTTACAGCAAATATTAAAACAATCCATAACTATGAGTAATAATCCTGAGCATTACCATACAAAAAGGATGGTCCATTAAGATAATATCTAAACTGCATCAAAAATGGTGAAAACAGATGTCATAATATTTACTTACAGAATATTCAGCAACAACACCTTTGTAGACTGCATAGAATTCTTCTGCATTTGCTCGGTCCATATAGAACTACATATAAAATAGAAAGGAATAATCTAATTCTTGAGATTCTGTGAAGCAGAATTGTGGAGCTAGTATTGTCTTAAAAATACTTAAAAACTACCTAACAATTATAGCTGCCCTTTTTCTGTACAAGAAACATGACAAGAATTGTGTGGTTTCTCAGTCATGTAGAGGGTATTTATTGTTTGGCAAATAAGCTGATAAACAACATGTGTGTGCACACTACTCATCAAACCACATGGTAAAAAGTCAAGCACACATAAAATTAAGTTATTCAAAATAATAATAATAAATTTAGGTATCACAGTTTGTAAGTAGCCTGGCTTTAGTAGCCTTGCACGCTGACTGAGGAATTCTGGGAGTTGAAGTTCACAAGTCATAAAAGGGCCAAGTTTGAAGACCCCTGCTTTAGAGTCAGTGGGGGCTACTGGAGGAGGCACCTTTTGCTGGTGACAACAGACAGACTTTCCTTTCTCAGCCTTATAGTTGTCAACTTGCTCCCCCCCCCCAAGTACAAACATACCAGGTGCAAACCCAGAGTTTCCTGAGCATAAAGAAACACCTTCCTCAACAAAAGTCTTAATTAATTTCACTCTATCTCCAAAAAAAGTTTTTGTCAAGTTTCAGGCTGCACAAAGCTCATGATTGTTGCTCACTATTTATATTATTCAATTATTTATACTAATTAAAATTTAAGTAAGTTCAAAATACATCAGGGGAAGGAAACAATGGGGCAGGGAAAAGAGAGGAGGCTTTCTAAATGCTTTTTGTATAATGCTTTTGTTTCCTTTTACTTTATTAAAGAATTATTTCAGTGTCAAAACAATTTTAAGTGCTTGTACAATATTATTGCAATGATCACTGGCTAATGAGTTTTAATTGTAATATCTAAGTATGTATTTGTAGAGTCAGACTGATGTAATGTTTAAGGTATTATTCTAGAACTTAGGAGATGAGTTCCAGCACTACCACACTTGAACTCACAGTCTAGAACAGTGGTTCTCAACTTTTTTAATGCCGCGACCCCCAACCGGTCGTAAGTCAAGGACTACTCAACTGGTCGTAAGTCGAGGACTACTCAACTGGTGCAGCACCGTTTGCAGAATGGGACTTTTGGCGGGCTCAGCAGGGCACAGACAGCCTGGACAATTCCTATTGGCTTTTGAAAGCCAATAGAATTAGACTCTATTCAAGAGAGTCTAGTCTATTGGCTTTCAAAAGCCAATAGAATAAAAGGGAGTAGCACAGCTAAGGAAAAGGGGAAAAAAATGGCGGACTGCGTTGTTTGGCGACCCCCGTGAAATGGTCGTTCAACCCCAAATGGGGTCCCGACCCACAGGTTGAGAACCACTGGTCTAGAAACTAGTTTTCGTTCCAAATCAGGAATGCAACTGCCCTGAATGGATCCAGAAAATCAGCTTAAAAATGTCTGAAATTGATCAGCAACCACCAAATGCTCAAGCATTTTCCCTGAGAAAGTGGGGTAAACTACTAATTCCAATTAACATCTTATTAATTAGGTTACTTCAGAACCAATCTGATCATTGCCTCTTCAAAAGCTAACCATAATTAATTAGGGTTGGCTATGAGTTCTTTTCTTTGTTTTCTTTTGGAGGAGGAATAGCCAGATGCTTCTCAATATACATTATTTATATCAAGGCTTTATTGATTTGTGTTCAGCAAATTCAGTGGGGATAATTCCCATCTTTAAAAGTTGCTTCCATAGTACTGTTGGAAAAGTATAATGATCTAGCATATGGGAGGTATATCAGCATTTGTGAGCAAGCAGTTCTGACTATGAAATGCTTTAGCACACGGGCGTCAAGCTCACCACGTCATGTGATGTGTCATGACTTTTTTTGCATTGCCAGAGCTGGGGTGGGTGAGGTCTCCGTATGATGCAACCGGCCCTCCAGCCAGCAGTTTGACACCCCTGCTTTATCAGCAGCAGCAACAACAAAAAATGCTTTATTCTAAATTAACTGCTGCAATGAACAAATACGGGATTTTCATGTGAAAAAAACTGTGAGTTCAGTTTAGTTCTGCAAGTTTCCTGATTCAGAATATGGTCAGAGACAACCTGATCCAGTTTTAAGTCATTTTCATTTTTCTTTGGCTGACAATCTGAGAATTATAAGAAAAAAACAAAATAAATTCGGCAACTTTGAAGTCTATCCATTTTTTGTTTAACTGAACTGAAAAGGCTGATTTCCTTTGTTTAACAAGATAACACTTTGAAAACCTGATACAAGACACCACTTACAACAAAGCTGAAGGAAGCAGCTACATTTCTGGCTGCAGCTGTTTCAGCTGAGAAAGAATCACTAAAAGCAAAGGCAGACATGTTCCCAAGTGCAATGGACTATGGTGTGGTTCTATAGTAGAAACAGGAGTGGTAAATGTGGAATTTTCTCTCCACCTCCTAATTCCACGAGAATTAAATAAAAAGAAAATAAGAAAAAGAAAATTAGTTACCATCTGCAAGGCTGAGATATCAAATCCTCCATCAAGAATTGCTTTTATAATCTTTCCAGCTAGACCTGCATTAAAACAAAAAAGGAGAATAATGGTAGATACCTAAGAGTATTTTAAATATTAAATGCTTGAGAGTTAGGGTGTTATCATATAATAATTCTTTTTTAAAAAATCCAGAATATATTTGGACTAATATATATGCATCTGACACCTGTACAGAGATAAATATAACACCTACTCAAACTTTTGAGCTGAGGCACTCAGCTGGGAAAGATTTTTCTCTATTTAAAGCAAAACAAAAATATGTGTAATTTACATAAAATAGGAAGACCATGATTTACACTTAAGTGTAAGATATTTAGCTCTTTGGGGGAGAAAATCAGATTTCAAAAAGCACATGGTATCCTGTGGATATCTCCTAGTTAATAATACTAATTGGATAGTCTGTATTTGACAGGTCCTAGCTGGCATACAATAACACAAACATGCTTGGGATAAAACTTGGCTTTGGTTGCAGTTGTGGCATAGTAGCCACAGTGTATTAAACCTGACAAGTATTGTCTGTTACCTGGGAATGACACAGGTAAAATTGAAGAAGCCTATGCAATGGGACAAGAAAAATTAGACAGAGATAAAATCTTATATTTGAATGAATTAAAGATTAAGGGATTAATTGGCCTTATATTGAGGATTTAGATTTATAAGGGAAATGAAAATGAACTATTAGGAAATAGCCTTGAATTATTGTTTAGCCCAGATAACACAGACAATGTATTTGAGACTATAAAGGATACTCCATTAGTAAGTAGTGATGTACTAGGATGAGAAATAGAAAATGTTTATGAAATAAAATAAGAATATACTTAAGTAAGTAATAGGTGTATTTTAGATATTATAATTTTTATGTAGTGAAATAAAGGAAACTTGGGTTACCCGAAATTTAAATACTATGGATATTAAAGGTTAAATTGGAATACTATAATTAAAAATTAAAATTTAGGTAAAATTTAAACACAGGACATGGATATGTATAAGCAAAAATATATTGATAAATGTTTTAACTGAGCTTGTTATAATTAGAAATTTACTAGCTTAAATATGATATAGCAAATGTTAAGGGAAATAGAGAAGGAATTTTTTGATGATGTAACCTGAGATATGTACTAAAGATTTTGTTATTGTACTATTGATTACCCAAACACCACACTGCTTTCCAAATACTCAAATGTAAAATTGGAAAACCAATAAAAACTTGCTATTAAAAAAAACGGCTCTCCTCCTGGGTCCTGTCAGATGATACTACTTAATAGATGTTACCCATAAAAAGGTTCTTCTGCAGTCCAGATAGCATACAGCATCTTAAATTAAAATCAAAAGAAAATTGACAACCATTGCAGTTCTGGGAGCAGAGGTTGTGTGCTGGTTTTGGAGTGCCCACAACTGCCTGCACCATAGCACTTTGCATTAGCTGCAGCTTCTGGATGTTCTTCAAAAGCAATCATATTTAGAGTACATTACAGTAATTTATTGAGGAGGTGACCAAGGCATGAGTGATTGAGAGCAGAGCCTCTTGTTCCAGGAACTGGAGCAAATTCACCAACAGAAATTGTAAAAAGGGCCCCCTAATCACAATTGTTATCCGCTCTTTGAACAGGAGATATGAGTCCAGAAGGACACCCAAGTTGAGATTCCCAGAAGCTGAGGGCCCGAAGAGCCAAAACCACTCAATTTTGGCAAGGTTGATGCTGATCCCCATCCAAACCCAGACACTGAGATATGACATCTATAACGAAGTGTGAGAGTAACCTTGAGGAAGGAGAGGAACAGCGACAGCCAAGGCAATAGTCAAATAAAAAAAATCTCAACATAACTGGAATGGAATTTGAGAAAGTATCTCAGCCTGGACCTCTCCAACCTCTCTTTAGGATAAAGGCAGAGAAGGGAGAGGCACATTCAAAGTTGCAAGATACTGTTACTGTTCTATTATTGATTAACTTACAATAAGAAGTTTACTATTCATGACTTTGATGTTCAGGTTTTGTCCACTTCAATGGTCTGAAAACATCAACAGCAACAGAATGTCTCAGGAAGAGGATCAAAACAATTAAAATTATTTGAGAAAAGATATTCTGGGACATCCTGAGAGACTGCACTATAGCAAATCAGGGAGTCCTAATTTGAGTCAATGAAAAGTCATTCAAATGTGAAGCTATTAATCTCTTAATAAAAAATAAAACAAAAATATATAACAAATTATATCAAGATCAGTGTTACTGACTACATTCAAAAGTAACCATGTAACACAGATTTCTAAAAAGGAATCTGGAGGTGATTCTGTAAATTATACTTTAAGTCAGTCAGCTTAACATCTGTTCTGAACAAATTTGTAAAATTGGTAATACAATGAAAAGTAACTAGGTACATAGGTACAAGCTTTTCTGAAGAAAAATCAGCATTGATTTCATAAAGATTAATCCTGCTTCATGAAGCTTAACAAAGTTCTTTCAGAGTGTCAGTAGGCACATGGATGAGGACTTCTCATCAAAAGCTGTTTAGTATATTTAGTAGTCATGGGATAAGAGAATTGCTAATGGGTTAAATAGAAACACAAACACATGACTACAAATCAAGTTTCTTTTTAGAGGGAAAAAAAGGAAAGGATCTATGTTGAGACTAGTAATTTTTAAATGAATCAAACAATCTTGTTGTAAGCAATGAGCTGGTCAAGTATGTGGATGATGTAAAATACATAACCTTGGTTAGGATGGTAAAAACCACAAATCATTGAAGATCTTTAGAAAGATCCCTTTCAGTTACATGAATAGGCAATTTATTTTTTCCCCTTGCAAACTAGAGAGATTGTTTAAACAAACTATTTTTTTTCTGAGTGGCTTTTCTCGACTGCACAGCATCTCCCTAATAAGCGCTAAAAAAAACAAACTAAGAAGCTGCAGTCCATGACTTTAAGCAAGTTAATTATCTTAGGCGCAGCTTGTACTGCTGCTACTGCTAGCAACCAACAAAATCCCTGCCTTGACATTAACAAGTTAATAGCTGACAGCTTTTGCCTCCTTTTGCTCTTGTGGCTTGCTGTCATGAGCACTCTAGGCAAACAGCTGGAGGGAACAGCATTCCTGTCAATCTGAATTCCCAATTGTGTGCTTGGGTACACTTTTGCATTCTTTTCTTTTTCACAATATATAAACACAAACATCAATTTCCTTCCATTTAATTATCTCAGTGCCAGAATAAACATTTTTAGAGGTGGGAGAATTGGGCAAAAAGAACTATAAGATCTGCCCAGAGAATCAGAATTCTGGGCAGATCTATTTGGGCTATTTAATTAATAAATTCTCCAAAGGTAATTGCTACCATGGTGTCTCCTTTGGGGTTTTTCTTTTTTGATATCCATCCTGCAAATTCTCAATTAAGTGTTGATGCATAACAGGGGCTCCCGGTAGATAGGCTCAATACTGTCAGCTCAGGGTATGGTAGTGTTAAAAGACAAATGGCATCCTAAGTAGAGTTAGAAACACTGTAACACCTCTTGGATGTTTGAAGCTCTTTAGCTCAGAAAAATAGAAATATGAGGAATGTGAACATGGGTTATAAAAGTTATGCATTGCATGGACAAAGTGGCCTGATCAAAGCAGAGAAGAAGAAGAAGAAGAAGAAGAAGAAGAAGAAGAAGAAGAAGAAGAAGAAGAAGAAGAAGAAGAAGAAGAAGAAGAAGAAGAAGAAGAAGAATAAGAAGAAGCAGAAGAAGAAGAAGAAGAAGAAGAAGAAGAAGAAGAAGAAGAAGAAGAAGAAGAAGAAGAAGAAGAAGAAGAAGAAGAAGCTGAAGAAACAGTGTACCACTTGGTAAGCTGTTGCAAGAAGATTGCACAGACTGACTACAAGACAAAGTAGCAACAATGGTGCATTGGAAGATCTGCACAAAATATCATTTGCCTGTAAGCAAAAACTGGTGGGATCATAAAATAGAGAAAGTCATAGAAAATGATAAAATTAAACTGCTCTGGGACTTCAGAATTCAAACAGACAAGCACCTGCAACATAACACCCCAGACTTAACCATTGTCGATAAGAAAGACAAAAAAGTCTGGATAGTGGACGTGGCAGTGCCTGGAGATAGCAGAATAGAAGAGAAAGAACTGGAGAAGATAACAAAATACAAAGACCTACAAATAGAAATAGAAACACTGTGGCAAAAGCAAGCAAGGGTAGTACCAATAGTGATAGGCTCCTTGGGTGCAATCCCAAAACAACTGGAGCACCACTTGAACACCATTGGCATTGACAAATTCGCTATTAGTCAATTGCTAAAGGCGGCCTTATTAGGAACTGCTTCCATCCTGCGACGATATCTGTAATACCATCAAACCTCCACATCTGCCTATCCCAGGTCCTGGGTAAGGACTCGATAGGTAGACAAAATGCCAAATCCAGTCTGAACATCTGGCTGACTGTGCGATGATCCATAATAACAACAACAACAACGTTGGAAGGTACCTTGGAGGTCATCTAGTCCAACCCCCTGCTCAGGCAGGAAACCCTATACCATTTCGGACAAATGACTGTCCAGTCTCTTCTTAAAAACTTCCAGTGTTGGTGCATTCACCGCTCCTGGAGGCAGGTTGTTCTACTGGTTAAACATTTTGTCTTTCCTATCAATACAATATTATACAGATAATCCTTGATTTATGACAATTGAGCTCAAAATTTCTATTGCTAAGTGAAATAGTTAAGTAAATTTTGCCCCATTTTACACCCTTTCTTGCTACAGTTTTTAAGTTAATCACTGCAGTTGTTAAGTTGGTGACACAATTGTTAAATGAATCTGGCTTCCCCACTGCTTTTCAGAAGGTCGCAAAAAGTGATCACATGACCCCAGGACATTGCAGCCATTATAAATTTGAGCCAGTGAAATTTTAGTGATGTGAGCATGAGGATGCTATAACAGTCATATGAAAAATGGTGATAAATCACTTTTTTCAGTCTATATATAAGTCTGGCATAGTCACGTGATATTTTGCTTAATGACAGTGGGACTCAGCAACAGAGACATAGGTCCCAATTATGGTCAGTAAGAGGACTAACTGTACCATAGTTTTGAAACTGGCAGAAGGAAAGAACAAGTTTAAGTCAAATTAAGTAAAATCTTTTGAATAAGAATAGTAGAAAATAGCAGTTTTCTGTAATCTGAATGTCCTTCAGATATACTTTCTTCAATTTCCCCAGAATGTTCCAGCCAGCAGATCATTAATAATAATTCTAAAATACACACCTTTGAAAGATGCCCAGGCTGGGAAAAGTTATCAATATTAAAGCTACAGAGGGTTAAATGTATTTTCTTATAATGCAATGAACTAATTTTATTTACAAAAATCAAATTAGTTCCAAAATAAAAAAAGGATTTTAAATTATCAAACATAGTCTACAAACCCCATTAATAGCTTTTTCTCATTTGAAAGAATCCACTGTTATGTACTGATGCATTATGGGAAGAAACAACTATCACACTATATTCTAAACATTATCATTTTATTCTGAGGACCTACTAGAAGCAGCAAAATATGACGGTCAAAGTGGTTTTGCAAAGCATTCTCTTGCCAGTATCTCTGCAGAACCTGTTAACCCAAATAATTATTTATGTGGTTTATGTACTTTAATTGCATACAGAGAACATCTCCATCTGATACTGCAAGCAGGTCAGCTGGAAATCATCTGAGCCTAACTGATAAACAAACTGCTGGTAGGAAAGACTTTTGTCAAAAAAGTAAAAAAAAAAAAAAAAAAGATGAACAGCAACAGGAAAACAAGTCTTTATCTCTGCAACTATGAGTATTAACATTAACAAAAAGGAACAGCATTGCTTGTTAGAACCAGGCTGAGATAGCTACCGTTGTGGAAATAATTTATATGTCTACTAACTAGACAAAAAGAGGACCAACAAGTATTTTTATTGACTCTGCAAGGAATATAACTAACCTTCTTTAATTGCATGAGGTTTAATAACACAGCAAGTACAATGTGTATAGTTTGCAGTGCCTGCGGGTCCACGGCCTCCATTGGAAGGAAAGAATAATTCCAGTTCCTGGAATTAATAGGAATTAAATACATAAATTTAATAGGGGTCCAAGCACTGAGATTATAATAGTCATTTTGGTTTTTATTCATTTCCATTCCTTATTTATTAACATATTTTTGAAAGTGCCTCATCATTCAGCACAGACAATAGACTTCCAAACACAGACTAAGATCCAAAACAATGCCCATTTTCAAAAAAATCCCCAAGTACAGGTAATCCTTGACTTATAACCATTCATTTAGTGACCTTTCAAAGTTATGAAGGCACTGAAAAAAATGGCCTACCAACGTTTTTACACTTATGACCTTTGTAGCATCCCTATGGTCATGTGATCAAAATTCAGACATTTGGCAACTGGCATGTATTTATGAAGGTTGCAGTGTCCCATTGTCATGGTTCACCTTTTGCGACCTTCTGACAAGCAAAGTCAATGGGGATGCCAGATTCACTGAACTGTATTACTAACTTAACAACTGCAGTGATTCACTTAACAGTTGTGGCAAGAAGGGTCGTAAAATGAGGTAAAATTCATTTAACAATTCTTTGGTTGAATTGGAAATGTCAGGCTTATTTGTGGTCATAAGTCAAGGACTATTTGTAATACCAAGAAAAAGATACAATAAACCTTTCACAAAAAAAAAAAAAAAACCTTGAGAAATTTAAGGCAAATTTCAGTACTGCATTACCAAGAATAGGCAGGGAGAAAACCATGAAAACTATCCTATGTCACCATAACACATTCATTGAGCTATAATCACCAGATGAGTTCATTATTTTGTCATATTACCATTAAATATTTCACAATAAACTATGTAACACTTGATTTCTTACTAGCTGCTCATACTGGAAACAGAGAACTTTCCAACCTGAATGCCACAGGACTGCCAACTGTGTTGAAAGAGTTTTAGGCTATCAGAGTGAATCAGGTGGGCCAGAAGAAATAAAAGAACAGTAAGCTATTACAGGTGACTTAACTGCCTGAAAAGATGAAAAAGCTTCAAACCCAAGTCAATAAAAACATAACAATTCAAATCCCAAAGCAAGCTGAATATATTTATGGGAGAATGTGTGTTTTTCAACCAGAGGAAGACAGAAAACAAATAGAACTAATGATTTAATGAAAAAGAAATTACAGGCAGAATCAGGTGATTCAACAACATAGAGAAAGAGGTTAGAAAAAAGGAGCAAAAAAAAAACAACCAAATTACAAAAATAAGCTTGAAACCACAGTCCTACTTCCTATTTATCTGTTACAGCACAGATACTCTTTTGTTTGTTTTCTTGTCTGCCCACTCCTAGAAAACAGAGGGCCTTTTTACAGGGCTAGCTGCTCACTGGGGAGGGAAAGGTCATCATCATCAATAGCAGAGGTTCTCTTCGTGATGAGGTGAGATCCTTCTCCTACATTGTTGTTTTTTTTAAAATGCAGACTAGATTGGGGGCTAGAACTTCTCTCCAACCGCTACAGAAAATCTTAGGACCATGATTTCAAAAATCCAATCAGCAGAAATCATCTGCCTGAAATTCATGGAACTATATGAACTGTTAGATTGGACAGTCAGAGAATCTATTCTCTCTGACTTGCAATTTTAATATCTATACAGAAATTAATCTCCAGTTCTTTCTCCCAAAGTTTGTCTTCACAAACAACCAAGTAATTGCTCTTCTACTTTTACCAACATGGCTTCTGCAAGCTATATATGCTTTTCTCCATTAGTAGCCTGTTTTTTCATGAACAGGACACTGAAGTAAAATCTCAGGCTAGCAAGGGCACCTATGATTAGATCACCTGTTATTTCTCCCAGATATGGCACTACCTGGATTCAGTCTTGGCAGATGTTTTCATTTATCTGAACTGGGAAGAACAATGCTTGTTGCCTTACAGTAAGTACAGTGATCCTGAGTTGCTAAGTAATCTCAATATAAATATTTCCCTTTCTCCAAGCAACACAAAACACAGAGAAAGCTAAAGAAGATAAGAAAACTGGAAGGAGGAAATCAGTAGCAAACAAAAAAACATTTCAAGTGCCAAGGACTGGCCCTCCTTTTTTGCCATCCTAATTTATAATCTCTTAAATTTAACATTTTTCAGTGGCATGAGTATGTGGCATACCATTTTAGAGTTGTATAGAATTCAACAATGTATAAATTAATGGATTCTTTAACTCTTCATAACTCATAATCACACACTTAAATACATAATACTACATTAAAATACTTTTAAGGATACACAGCAGGGACAAAAAAGGGAGTAATTAAAACATTGCCAGCAGCACTATTCTTAGCTCCTCTAATCAACATCAAGAAACATGTTTCCATGGAAAGAAAAGCAGGCATCAAAAAGTAAAATGCAAATATATTGTCGAATCTGTTTTCTTATAGCTTGGAAAGATTCACATGAAGGTTTGCCTTCAGATGAACCTCCAATTAATCTGTTTAAATTTATTTAATCCATCACAATAAATAGTTAGGAAACTATAAAAAAATTCAATGTGGCTATGTATTATCATTTATAGTTTCAACTCTAACAAGATGAAAATTAAAATGATGTATACATTATATATCTTATTTTATTCTGTAAGATTTACTATTTCATTTATTTAGAGTATTATCATGCAATTACTCCTTTAACAGCTTCGGGCAATATTTGACTGAAATCATACTACCATTATTCAAAATGACGACAAAATGGGGGAGGCTTTCCAGTGAAAAAAAAATGGGATGAAGTCATATAAACATAGTTAGTTACACAGTACAGTAGTTTTCCTGGACAGAGAATTCTCTGATTAGTTGAAGCGATCTTCATAACAAATCACTAACACTAAACGTTTGTGTTAGTGATAAAATATGCCTTAGGATCTTCTACAGATCTTAGTTGAATTGCCTCATTTGATCTAACTAAGATGAAAGCTATGGAATTAGGAGGCTGGTCAATAAGGAACTACTGGTCAAAAGTAGTAACTTAAACAGGATTCAGAAAGAAAGAGAAAGGAGTGTTCATTTTACATATGTACATGCATCAGTGGAAAATATTTAATTGAGAGGTATGAAAACATAAATAATTCTTATATGCTAAAAGAAACTAAGTCATGTACAGAATGGCCTATCAAATGTATATTTGAGAAACTTACACTAGCAGCAGAGGCAAAGGAATCAGGGCCATGAGCCACATTTCTTATGTTGTCACTTCCAAAACGTGCTCTAATGCTGTTTGGAGCATCGGTTCGGGCTACAACTGAATTTGCGGGTCCTAATAATTGTTTCCATCTGCCTATGGCATCATCTCCCAAAATCTCCATGGCAACAACAGGGCCACTTGTAATAAACTCAAGAAGCTCACTGAAAACAGAAAATAGAATAGTCAGGATACCTGGGAAACCAAATGCTTCAACAGGATTCTTCCATCCTAAACAAATTAATACCAACAAAGTTGGGTACATAGTACAAATATTAAGCTACTATAGTAAAAATAGTAAGTTGCAGAAAAATCTGATTAGAAATAATATTTTCATATTTTTGAAACAATACTTTGTTTATTCTGTTATCTTTTGCAACATCAGAAACTATTTTAATATTTTAAGAAAGGCAGAACTGAAAAGAGATAACAGATTTGCTGACTACTCAGGAACTCTGATCTTATGTTTAATTGCAAATTAAGCAGAACATAAATCCTAAACTTTTGGCTCCTTAGAAATTGGCAGCCTAGAAGCCAAATGAAGCTTGCCAAGTCTATCAAGCCAGGCATCTCTCTCTGTAGAACTCTATCTATTATTTATGTACATATATGGGCGATCATGTTCAATCACAAACATGCATGTCAAGAAAACAAAGTACTGGTCACAGTGTGTATATAAAGCATTACAAAATAAATTTAGCACATCAGTACTGCTCCCAGAAACAGCAGGCACCTAATTAAGTGGATAGTCAAGAATAGTACAGATCACTTAATTTCTTAACATTACTTTTACAGTATATAGGTAGTCCTTGACTTACAAACACAATTGAGCCCAGAATTGAAGTCATATGTTATTGCAGTCATTAAGTGAGGTGCCCATATGACCATCTCACTCAATAACCACAGTTCCATCATTCCCAGTTGCAGTTGTTAGGCGATTGCCTGGATTGTTAGGTGAAGTTTCAGTAAGGATCATTCTCCCTTCCATTCATGTTCTTTTGGCTCTGCACAGTGGTACTGCCAGCGGTAACCCCAATTGCCCCTCCTGCCCAGTTGACCTTCACCACCTTAAGCCATTTTCCAAGCAGGCATCCCTTTCCTTCTGCAAGCTTGCACCTCATTAGAAACTTCCTGATCCAAATCTCATGAAAATTAGACATGTGGTTTGAAGAACAGCAGGAGCCTTGTTCTTGGGTTGCTTCAAAAGCCTCATTTCCCCAAATCATGTGCACCATTTCTTTTGCACATCGTGAGGGCTTTCACATAAAAAGGGATATTGGTTTGAAGAAAGGATCAAGGTGGTGAAGATCAGCTGGT